AGCGTTCTGTGGACTCCAGGGTGTCAGAGTAACTGGAGCCGTCAATTGCCTTCCGGCTCTGGGTGCAACTTGAACACTCATACTGTTTGTGGGATATTTTTCGCGTGGCTGCTCAGCGAAACTGAATCACAATATCAGCGTCGTGGGCCAGTCGCCATTCCAGATCGCCGTTCGGGGTCGACATTGTGACAGTTCGTGATGAGGAGCCATAGTGCCACGTGCAGCATTTGATTTAGCCATCGGCGATAATCGGCATGTCATTTCGCATTCACCCGATGCAAACCCGATGGGCACGAAACCGTGATGACACCGTGAAAACACACGTTCACATGAAGATCCCTGTCTTGTTCAAAGAATTCTAGAAAAGCCAGTCTTTTCCCTGGTCCCCACTTCTCACGGAGCTCAAATTTTATGATGGAGGAATGCCGCATGCGAGTTGAAACACAGGTGTGTAGCTTGCAATGTGCATTACTCTGCTCTCACACAAATCCGCCCTAAACTGAAAGTTATATTGAAGGACGCGTGAGCAGAGATAAATTCCATGAAGAAATCACAACTAAAGGTAGTAAGTAGTAGGCGTGCATAACTCAAGTCTCACGTCTTCTTCAACTGCCAGTGGGAGATGGAATCCGCTGACATCAGGCGATCGGCTCGTGTCATAAGCGGAACAAGTTTGCACAAGAATTCATCAACACGCTGATCCGGCCATTCCGCCAGACGGTGGAGGGTCTGCTGGGTGACGCCCTGCTTGCGAAACTCATTAGTCCATTCTTTGTCGAGTGATGCGCTGACGATGGAGCCGCTGAGCGCGGCATCCATACCCGTGACCGCGTAGCTTACATCATCAGATCATTCTGTCTTACCTTTACCATCGTATCGACTTGCTTCCTGCTTCGCCTTGCACGCTGCTCGGGCCATCTCCATGTGGTGATGAGAGTGCGTTTCGCACAACCCCGCATCCCCAAACCCGGAGGATCGACCGTCTGCTGACGAGACACTGTGTTTACGGCACACGAAGAAAATTTTCACCGCACCGTTGGACGCGAGACACCGTACATCTGCACGAGAATTACCCCCCATGGAAGTCTACTACGACGAATATGGCGACTATATCGACTATCCCACCTTTCTCGACCTCCCGAGGTCCTTGACGACGACACAGACTTTGACCACGAATCCGACCCCGCCTACGCTGCATCTCCCGACGAATTCTACGAGCCTGCGGATTACCCATACGAACACCCTCACCCCACTCATTATCACGCCGACGCCGGCCCGAGCCTAGCCGCGGAATACGACCATTATGCAGGAGACTGCCTGGAGACGGCGTATGGGGAACCCGGTTACTGGGAGGAATACCAGCGCCGCAGGTACGAAATTCTTTACGGCTCGGAATCAAGCGTGGAGGAGGAGGAGGAGGCGTGGGCGGAGCCCTCGGACGAGAGCGAATACTACGCAGCCGATGCGGTTGGCGTGGAGGACCCGTATGACGCTTCCGGTGGAGACGCGTGCCCCGAGCTAGTGGGCACAGACGCCGTGGACGACGAGGCCGCTGCTTGGGAGGCTATGTGGGCACGCGGCCCGCTCTTAGGCTCGAACGAGCTTGAATGGGCCATGGAGATGGAGGCTTGGCGCCAGCGCATCGAGGAAGAGGCGAGCATCAGCGAGGAGGCTGTTGCTGAAGCGGTCACCACCTCCATGCCCGCTTCAGGCGATAACTCGGTCCATCTCTCGCCCGCAGCGTGCGCCGAGGAGCCTTTCGATGTCACCGCACCGCCGACTCTCGAGGAGCTGCAGGCTGCCTATGATCGTGGCGAGATACCTGAAGCGGATCGCGAGGAGTGTGCAAGAATCCTCGGAGAGCTCTGGGCGTGCGAGCTGGAGGACCAGCGCCTCATCGCGGCTGGGTATGTGTGGAACGAGGAACTCGGCAACTACGTGCATCCGGCCGAAGCGGACTCATCTGTGGAGTATGAGAGCGACGAGGCCGATTGTGACGCCGTGTATCCGCTCGGGTGCGCGCCCTGTGATGTTCACCATCTTACAGAGCTCGCCCCTCCCATCTCAGTCCCCCATACCCCAATAACTCTCGCACCCCCGTCTTCCGCCGCTCATTATCGTTCGCCGAGGCCGGGATCTCGCCCCAAAAACTCAAAATTTAGCAAGCGGCCCTCCTTCCCTCGCGCGCAGGCACCCGTTCTCCGCCAGTCGTTTATCCCGCGAGTCACACCGCCCCTTTCAAAATCACGACCGAAGCGACGCCGTACCCGTGCCCGCGCCTCGCGCCGCGATCTTCCGCCTCACCTGGACGCCACGACCTCGCCCCCTGCTGTTCGGTTATCCAAGGAGAACGCCGACGCGACGGTTCCTGCATCCAGCGCCACACCGCCTCCCGTCGCTGACGAGAGTCGCTGCAGCCTGGACACAGTTCCCGCCGTGGCCGCTGACGTTCTCATCCCCAAAGAGCCTGTCCCGCCGGATATTGTGGTGCCGTCCGAGGACCGCGCGCCGGATGCCGTTCCTATCCTCAAGCAGCCCGTTCCACCGGATATACGACGGCCAACTGCTTTGGAAACGGCTTCATCACCATTCAAGGACCCCCCCACTCCCGACGTCGTTCTCATCCCAAGGCAACCGGGGCCTCCAAATATAGCTGCCGGGGCAACGACTACGCCTGCAGCCCGCGAATGCACCTCTGTCGCCGCCTACATCGCCCCCATCCCAGTTCCAAAGCCGCCCAACATAGCTTTGTCCGCGATCAGCCAGCTCAAGGATCGCAGCGCATCTGCGCAGCGCCGACGCAATGCCCAGCGCCGTATTGCCAAAAAAGGGAAAGGCTGATTTTCGCGCGAGGGCGCGCAATTTCTTTTCGCCGGGGGAATGTGGTCCTACAGGACCTAAATCAAGCTTCATTGAGTTTCCACATCCATCTCATCTTATATACTTACTACCGCTCTTTTAGTTATCTTTGTCTCATCCCCATTCTTCTGCTTCATGTCCTAGAGTCTCCCGATTTTTTTTTACCCACAACGTCTGACCCTCTTTGATTAGTTTTTGTTTGTCGGACGAGGACGTCCTTTCATTTGGAGGGGGAACCTGGAGCCGCTGAGCGCGGCATCCATACCCGTGACCGCGTAGCTTACATCATCAGATCATTCTGTCTTACCTTTACCATCGTATCGACTTGCTTCCTGCTTCGCCTTGCACGCTGCTCGGGCCATCTCCAACGAGAAACTTGTAAACGAAGGGGTCGTCCTTGACGTTTTCGCGGTGCTGGGAAGGTTGCTTCGGAGCGCTAGACGTTGAAGCCCATGAAGGCGCCTCAGGACGAGCTTTCGTGCTGGGTGCATCCGGGAAGCGACGTTTTTCGTGAGCTGGTGGGACTGAATATATTTTCTGCGCAGAAGTAAAAACCTTCTAAATAAGCGCTGAAACCGGTGAATGTACTAGGGTTACCCACCTGCATTGTAGAGTAATCGGGGTTGAGTTCTTCTTCAGTGTTATCGTTTGTTCGCGCCCGTATCTACTCATCATTAGGACTTCACGTAGACATAGGACTGCGGACGAGCGTACTGCGTGTAGTCTGTCGTAGAACTCAAGGCACACGAGTTTCTGCACCTCTTCCGCGTCCATTGAATGGCTGTATTCGTCTTCGAGTGCACGGCGCACGGTCGTATGATTCCAGGTCGATTCGTTGATGGTATCTTTGTTGTCAACACCATGGGCATGCAGAAATCGGATGAAGGCTTTGTCTCTGGGCTCAAGGACACGGCTGGTGCGCTTCCTGGAGTTCGGCCAACGTCAACGATACTAACAGCACATGGAGAGATTGATAAAGCATACCACTGGCCTGGAAGCCGATCCTCACTCGAGTTAGGCGTGTAGCCGGAATGTGTATCAAACATGTCAAACCGCCTGGTATTGTTCGTCGTCATTGAAGCGCTCCCTTTATAAGGAACGGTGCGGAGAACAGGAGGCTGCGGATCTTCCAGTATTAAAGACCTGGACCTCCAGGTTTGAGCTGTTGTCCACTTTTTTTTGTCATTAATTGAGACATAGTTGGTAGCCAAACGAACGCCATCTGAATGGAAGGATCCAGAAAAGCGCAAAGTCAGGGTCCTGATCCCCGAGTAAACGGAAGAGGAGAAACCAACGAAAGAGTCGTCTGCGTCCTTATTCAATTCGGATGAAATAGAAGCCACATGAATCAAATCTGGTCTTTTTCTGACATCTCATTTAGACCCATGATGCGTAGAAGGCAGCAGATCCGCAGCAATCAGAAGATGGCATTAAGTAGGTCGGGCTATTGAGCCGGAATGGTCAGTTTTACTGAGAATTCGAAGTGTGGAAAGGGCGTTCCATAGCGGGACGTGTTCGAGTGCCCCTGGCAGTGGTACGAGAGACGATGGATCGGCGATCGCCGAAAGCTCAGATTTACACGATGCCAATAATTCAACCTCAACGTTGAGGTTGGATTTTGAGGCCTCAACCTCAGCGACACCATTTCGCCGTCTCTGTTGAACGGGCGAATGGAGTTTATGTTCCGGTCAAAGACAGTGGTCTGAATTGAAGTATTATACAGTAAGACCGCCCAGTCGTTTAGCAGCAAGGCCGTACGGCCATGCCGACTCTAATCGCCGCAGCTGGAGGCCGAAATTAAGAAGCGCGGAGCCCTGAGCTTTGTACCTGGAATGCAACACGGAACCTGTATATCTGTCGGCGCGAAGCTGCGCCTCGTGTCTCCCGAGTTCAACAACGCTGGAGAATTTGCTGCGCGGGGCCACTGGATATCGTCCATTCCATCATTGTAGCAGCCGTAAGAGAGATACACAGGGATCCAAAAATAATCGTCTAAAATGACGGATGTTGTTGGAAGTTCGGAGTTAGATGGAACAGAACAGCCTCGTAGCTTTGCAAGCAGAGACCCCAGGAGTTAGTGAACAGGTGTTTGCCGAAGCACTTGCCGAAGAACTTGCAGAATATCAAGGCAAAGAAAGGGAGCATTTGTAGACGAATGGTACGTCGCTCAGCACCGTTTCAATAGATAATTACAGCATGTAGAGACGTGTTGCTGGGAGGTGGCGGTTCGATTCCTCCCAAAGGCATATGATGGAAGGTAATTTTTTTACCAGGAAAGTGGGACTTTTCTTTGTCCAATTAGGAATGCCGCGACGAGGATCCGATGAGAGACATGGAGAGCTCTTGTGGATAACCGGGACCCCACAGACCATTGTCAATGAATGCGTACAGAGATGTTGAATCCTCCCAAGGGCATAAAATGGATGCATGATGCTATTCTTGCTGGAGCATGTGTAGAACGGTGTGTCTGGCCGACGGAAGGAGGAATGAGAATGGGCCCTTGTGGGTGAACGGGACACCGCCCCTTTAGTCGTTCATGGACCCACAAATGCTGCGGGGAGATGGAGGTTCGATTCCTCCCGGGGCATATATCGGCGCGCTAGCGAGCATTTTTGCAGCATACAGTGCCCAAACATCTCTTTATCTCGTCGAAAGCAAAACGAGGATGAGCTCTTGTGGACGAACGGGACGTCACCCGGCACTCGTCACCGAATGAATCAGAAATGTTGCTGGGGTGGAGGTTCGACTCCTTCCGAGGGCACAACAGGGCACTCGTATTTTTTTGCCAAAGCGTCTGCAGAATATCTTGTCTAGTCGCAGGCAAAAGAAAGGGAAGAAGGGCTTTTGTAGACAGATGGCACGTCACCCAGCTCTATTTCCAATGATGGTCAAAATAGATGTTGCTGGGAGGTGGTGGTCGATTCCTATTGAGGGCATGCCGGCGAACGATTAGTCCTTTTATCCAGAAATTACGACTTTGCTTTGTCCGATCAGAAATGCCGAGGATCCGATGTGGGAGAGGAAGAGCTCTTGTGGACGAATGGGACATCGCCCAGCATTGAGATATAGAAGATGCATCGAGAAATGTCGCTGGGAGGTGGGGGTTCAATTCCCCGCAGGAACAATAAGACAGAATGTGCAAACTTTTTGATCGAGAACGTCCCTGACAAGTCCTATCAGACGGAGTTGACAACGGAGGAGGAAGAGCCCTTGTGGACGAACGATACGTCGCGTAGCACCGTTGAGAAATACATGCGAAGAAGTGTTGCTGGGAGGTGGAGGTTCGATCCCTCCCAAGGGCGTATGCAACGGGTGAAGATATTTTTGACAAACCATTTGCGGAATATTACACAGTCGAAGGCGAGAAAATGGAGGATGAGCTCTTGTAGACAAATAGTACGTCGCCCCGTTCTTATTGGTCGTCCAGTGCGGATAACAACGGTACAGGGAAGTGGGGGTTCGAGGCCTCTGGAGGGCAACGTTTTTGATAGAAAAGTGCAACGCTAGTCGAAGACAAGAGAAGGAAGGAAGGAATGACGAAAGAAAGAAAGTAAGAGTCATTGCTGACTAATGGCGGGTTTAGCATCGTTGAGAGATGTCCGTAGAAATGCGTTGCCGAGGGTGGGGTTCGACTCCCGAAAGCATCATGGGTGCAGATTTTGTTCGATAGATCTAGGTTCGTGGATCTAATGGCTTCGTGCCATATTTTAGATAGTAGGAGCCTTAAAGTGGCAGAAGTTTGGCTTCTTTCATTGGTCCAGTAGTTCGGCTAGACGAGCGCGACTCGAAAGAATTTCAACTTGAAGGGAAAAATTCAAGCACAAACGATCCAGATGGAAGTCTCGAAACACATTTGTTAGAGCAAGAGCCCATGGGATACCAACGAGACAAGACGGCCGGCGTAGGAGTTGGTTTGGAACAAGGCGCCGGTTGTTTGACGCTGTTAATCATATGGGTCGATGACGCGTCGCAGCACCGCCACACCTGCCTTTCTCGTCCCGCGTGCATGGATTGCAAAAATTGTGAACTGAAACAGCGCCAGTTCTTCTGCACCAACTGCATACGAAGTCAGTAAGTAGATCCATTCTGTCGCCGTGAATGATGCTTCAATCGATCCGCAGCACGCGCGACTTTCGGGTGAAAACCCAACACTTTGCGGCGGAGCGGGACGAGCAGGTGGCAAAGGCGACCAAGGCGCTCGGGGTCGTCGAGGCGGCGCGCATGCGGCGGGCGTGCGTCGCTCAGATTCAGGCGCGCGTCGACGAGGTGCTGAGTGCGCTCGCCCGGCTGCGGAAGGACAACGACAAAAGTGAGTCCAGATGTCGGTAGCATTTGTCATCTGTGTGCTGACCAGACAGAACGCGACCGCCTGCGCACGCTTCGCGAGTCGCTCGCCGCCCGCCGCCGCACGCTCTCCGCCGCCGCGCTGCCTGCCTCGCCGTCGCCCGCGGCCGCGACGCACCCCGCGCTCGGCCCGCCGCTACACGCGCTGCAGCAGCTCTCGGGGTTTCTCTCGCGTGCTCGCGCGGGGCTGGTGCAAGAGCTGATCGACGTGTTCCACGTCGTCGAGGTCGGCGGGCGGCCGCCGCTCGGTGGTAAGGCGGGCTCGCAGGGCGAGTGGACGATCGGCGACCTCATCCTGCCCGTGCCCGGCGACGTGCGCCGCTACCCGCCGCAGCACATCAACGCCGTGCTCACGCATGCGGTGCACTTCGTCGGCCTGCTCGCGTGGTACCTCGGCGTGAAGCTCCCGTTCAACGTTCGGTGGGAGGGCGGCAAGCTCGGCGTCGGCGTGCCGTGGATCGGGCCTGCGCGCAGCGGCTGGGGGCGCTGGACTGCGCACCACCCGCTGCACCTTTCGCTCTCCCCTGCTCCGCCGACTGCGTCCACGCCGCCAGCGGCGGCCGTCGCCGCACCGTCGCCGTCCGCCTCACTCTCCATGTCACAGTCGCAGCTCCCCGAACCCACGCCTGCGGAGGAATCGCCGCAGTTCACAACTGCGCTGGCAATGCTGTTGTATAATGTGCTCTATCTCGCGCACACGCAAGGCCTTGAAATTCCGCTCGCGCAGGCGGGCGATGTCCTGAGTAACCTCTGGGCTGTCTGCTGTGCGCCTGAACTGGGCAGGTGCGTTCGTCTCTCTTGCCCTCCCCTCCCACTCCCGTTCCCTTCTTCCCTCTACGTTCTCCTCCCTCCATTCGTCTTCTGTGCTCCACATTGTCTGCTTCACTCCCCCACTCTCCATACGCCTCTGTCCTGAACCACCTGGTTTGAACCTCTGCTCTGTCTCACTCATCGAGATGCCGACTTCTCTTCAATTCCGTTCTTGCACATGTTCGTCCCGTCACCGCCAGCATCGACTTTGCGCACTCGCGTCTTCATCACCGCATTGTTCTCATCTCCACTCGTTTTCATCTCAGTCGTTCTTCGATTTTGTTCCCTTCTCTGTGGCCTGGATCTTTATTTTCGGGCGCTCTCGGCCTCTCGTATCTTCACCTACGGCATCCCATATCTCGTTCCTGCTCTTTTGTGTTGCCCACTTCCTATCCCTCACTCCTTTTGTGTTCTGCTCCCCGCTGCACTTCTTTGTTCCACCTTCGTTTTTCCACCGCTTCATTCCTATTTACCGCTTCGCCTCCGCGCTTTGGTTTCACCTTTCGTGCAAATTTCGCGCTTTGTAGTCCATTACATTACATTGGATTCTGTGTGCGTCTCCTTTTTTTGTTTTTGTTTTGAGAACGATTCAACACGGGTTTCTGATCGTACATGTTCATCCATCTTCCTTCACACGTTGTGTATTCTCATTTCCTTTTATCCCACGTCCTTTCCCTGCCTTGCTCGTCCACACTTGTCCAATCAATTCTACCCTTCTTTTCCTGTCCCTCTCGTCTTCCATTTCTGCCCCTCCCCGCACTCTTCTCTTCTCTCCTCTCCCATCCCGTACCGCTTACGCTCAACCCAAGCTAACACCCCACCCCAGACGCTCACACGCCACCTCCGCGCACCCCCTCCCTCCGCCGTCACCCGGTGCGCTCCCGCAGCTCGATTTCGGGCAGGTGCTCCAGGCGACTACGCGTGGCGGGGGCCGGCGCGCAGTCGCCCGCACCTTTTCCGCTGCATCTACTGCTTCATCGCCCCCTAAGGTGTCCCCGACTGCGTCTACGTCCACGGTGAAAGGAGGGGAGGGGGGGACGCGAGATCGGGATAAGAGAGAGAGGGAACGGGACAGGGGTAGGGAGAAGGAGGAGGAGGAGGGGTGGGATTTGGTTAGCGAGGATGGGTATTGAGCGGGTGGTGCTGCGTAGATAGATAGAAGACTGATGCGGATGGGAGTGCGGTGGGGATGGTCGATGCTGATAATCAATTAGAGAACTAGCTCTTGGATCTGACTTGGAGTGATTGTACGGGGACGATTCCTGGTTGTGTTACTGTGGGGTGCCCTTTCGCATCCTGTCTTCGACAATCCCATATGAAGAGCAAAAATTCATAAAAAAAAAACAGACAACAGCCCAAAAAGCAGAGGAAGGAAGAAGAGGACGGCCCGAGTCTGTGTAGGATAGAGGGGCTCCCAGGGTGAGATCATGGAAGGTGAAGCACACCTCCAGGGCGGTACTTGGGCTGCAGTGCTCTAATAGGTGGGGACAATAGATGGTTTGTAAGTATTAGGTTAAGCTTGTGGAGATAAATCACGTGGGCGTGCTTGACGCAATTGTAGAGACCCACTGAATTCTCCGTAACTATATAGATTACGTACATTGTGTAGTCGATCCTCGCGCGATTGTACTCAGGTCCCTAATTACCCAGCGAGCCCTCTTGCGCCTGAGGGCAGTGCAAATTCCTACACAATCGCGCATTATACCTGTTGCTGGCTGTCTGTCTGTCTGTCTGTTGGTCTGCTTGGCGTCGTCTATCTTGCTTCTTTTTATCATGTCTGGCGATGACGAAAAACCGGTTAATTTTGCCCCTCTCGACGACTCCAACAATTATGGGGAATGGTCCATGCGGATGGAGGCACGGCTTATTCGTAAAAAGCTCGGAGATGTTGTTTGGCACGGAATAGAGGCTGTGGAAGGGAAGGAGGAGGAGGCAGAGACGAAGATTGTGGCTTGGATGGCGAAGCGGGATAAGGGAAAGATGGCAGAGGCACGGGCAGAGATGATTGAAAAGGTGGCGAAGTCTCAGCTGCCGCACATGCGCGAACACGACCCACACTTGATCTGGCAGAACTTGGAGGCTATTCATCGAGCTCAAGGTCTGGCAACACGGTTGGCGCATCGACGGAAGTTCCTCACAGCGGCGAAGCTCTCATCCGAACTGATGTCGACATGGATCAGCAGAGTGCAGGGAATGGCTTTTGACTTGGAGGATGTGGGGATATCCGTCAGTGATGAGGACCGGATCTTGGCGCTCACGATGGGGCTCGACGCCACGTACGAGTCATTTGTGATCTCGTTGGATGCAACGGCAGCAGACGAGCTTACACTGGAGTACGTGAAGGGCCGCATGTTAAACAAGGAGGTGCGTCGGGCGAATGGGTTCTTCTGGAGGGTGCAGCGAAGGTAAAGAAGGAGGACAAGGAATCGGTCG